TTTTTAAATGCAGTCAAGGTCACTTTTGACTTAATTTTTAATTACATCAAAATTAAAATGATTTTAGGTTATCGCCAACTTATAGCTCGTTAAAAAATTTATCGACCTTTTTTTTTTTAGTTCAGACTTAACATTGAAAAGAAACAATGACCAACATTTGTAATACTTTTATAAGCTTTTTGACAAAGCAACTCAGAAATTAAATAGTAATAAAGAAAATTTAAAGAAATGGAAAATATAAATGGCTACAAAAAGTGTTGACAAAAAATGATCGAAAACAAGAAAAGACAATAATAAAACAGCGGAAAGAATCTAAGCCAAACGAAAACTTGCGGACAAAAGCGTCGGCTAGTTTTCATACGCTGTTCCCAGAAAAGGATAAAGGGTATATTGGGTATTCATTTTATTGGGGTTTCAAGTTAACAACATTAAAATTTGTATGTATATAAGTGATGACATAAAAAACAATACATCTAACGTCTCTCTGCCATAGCTTCAAGCAATTTGACTCTTGGCCAATTGCTTGGATATTTTTGTTCATGCTAACAGAGTATCAAACATTGGGCAGTTTCCGAACAAATGTTGTAGTTGGTATTCTAGCAAAGTTTTGTCACTGGTCTGCGAATTTCGTTACTGTTAAATAAATCTTCTTCAGTTAAGTTTTATGTCTTCATGCGGCTTTAATGAAGCCAGCGGTACGCGACGCGTCGTGCCGTGTCTTGTCTTGTCGTGTGGTTTGGTTTGGTGCTGCCGTTCTCCAAGCTGGACAAGCTGGACAAACTCGACAAACGGACGGACAGATGGCGGTGACGACGACTTTGCCGCAGGCTGTTGACGTTGCGCGCGTTTTTTTGATTTTGGCATTATGAAAATGTTGCCGTTTTTGCTGTTGCTGCTGCGAGAGTGAATGTGCTGCTGTTTGTTGTTGTTGTTGGCCATGTAATTATGTTTTCATTTGAGCAGCAAACTCCAAACTTAATAGGCTGGCATAGAACTACTTTCGTTTTGTTGAATCGTCTGAGCCACTCAAGTTGGATTTTGATGGAACAGCATTTATAAAGCACTTTTCTGAACACACACACACACACACACACAAACACACACAGACCGTCATTTACTTTGCAAGTTGCGTGTGGGCAGCGACACCAAATAAAGATTCCAATTCAAGTTGGCAGTTCCATAAATTGTCAATATTGCCATTTGCCGTTTGCTCTTGTTGCTGTTGTTGTTGTTGTTGTTTTTTTTTCCACTTCGGCACTGATTTGATTTTTGTGTGACCGTCTGACCGCTGACTTTTCCCACATCGCCATCGCCTTTGCCTGCTTCTCTTTATGGCCAACTGTATTTTCGGCCAAAATGTCACTTTTTTATTGTCTTTTTATGAGCGCAGCGTGTCGCTGGCCCTGACAGGCAGTTGTTAAACGTGCGCCGCAACTTTCGATTAACGAAAATTATTTCACTACATTAGTGTTTCAATGTATGTGTGCGTGCTAAGGGTCTGCAATAATTGGGATTTCGTTTTTATTGAGATATTTTCCTTTTTTATGACAGGCTCTGTGTGTACGACTACGCTTATTTAGCTGAATTATCAAACTTACTTATATAGTTTTTTATGCAACAGTATCTTAGCAAGTTGGACATCATTTTAGTTAACTACTGTTCTCGTGCAGTAATATAAATTTGTGTGACTAGATATTCAAAATTCATAAAACAAATTACAATTTAAATATTGATATATAAATAACTTGAAGAATAGTCTTCAGTCCCTTGAAGCTATTTTACTCTCTAAATCTCCCCAGCGGCGATTACCCTTTTTATTCAACATCGATCCCGTTTTATGCGTTACCCTTAAGCGGTTGACTGGCTTGTCTATAAACTTTAATGTAGAACTACTATTGTTCAAATCTATATGAGGCACAGCCTTTCTTTCTGTATGCTGCTCTTGTCCTTTTCCATCCTTTCAGATGAAAAATGTGAATACTCCTTCAACGTTGTGCTGTCTCTATTTGGCAGATATATGCTGGTTTCAATTTTGTCATATTTAATTTATTTAACGACTCTTAACAGAGCATCTCGTAGTCAAACACTTTCATGCCGAGCAGAGTCGCCTTTGTTTGCGTATGCCTTGGTTTCTAAGTCAAAATGCGTTGGGCATTTCAATTGCAGCGTTTGATAAATGGCCAGCAACTGAACGTAAGCGCTTTCATCGCGTTAAGCCAGTCAGTCAGCCAGTCAGTCAGTCACTCTGAGCAGCAGCACATTTGACGACCGTGGGTGAAAATCACCAAAAATGGCATTCAGCTTTCGCCCATTTGAGTTAAAAAGACTGAAGTCGGCCACCGATGAGTCCGCAGTAGTAGTAGTAGTGCTCCAATCCACAAAAAAAAAAGAAAAACACTTTACTAGCACAAGGTCAGCTGTACAGCAATGGTTCTTGTGTATGGCAACACACCCTCTCACGCTCGCACTCACGCTCAATCGCTTTCCGCATATTCATAAGTAACGTTCGCTTTTTGGTACTGAGTTCCGTTGAGTGGCAACTAGCTAGACGCTCTGCTACAGCGGCACAAATTACGTGCTTTTCAACTTGCCGCATGCAAAACTTGAAGTTGTTAGTCACTCGACATTCATTATTCTACACAAAAAATGCCATGCCGCCGGCGTCCCCTTCCCCTCTTGGAAAAGAAGCACGCAGCAATTTTCACATCTTTTCAGTTGCAGCTAATTTTACTTTCGGCAAGCGCAACAACAGATTTGTGTTGCCCCAACTTTGGACTACAAAATTTGAGTCCCAGACGCATGCGCATGCGCCTCACGTAGCATGTCGTCTGTCTGACAGTCCATTTGTCTGCTTCTCTGTCTGAATTGTGGAAGTTGCTGCTGTTGGTGCTGCTTTGAACTTACTGTGAAAGTTCTGTTGCTCAGGCGACTGCAGAAATCTTCCACATTTTTCTTCACATTGTGTAGCGCGTTGATACAATCTTTTACTTATATGTTTATGTAAATATATATTTTTTTTGACTAGTTGAATGCTTTTGTGGCAATTTTCCCACATTATGAGCATTGTTCTAGAAATGCTTCGCTTTATTATAATGATAATTATCGCAAAGAAATGTCCAAAAAGTTCTCGCAGCGACCATTTAAATTGACTCTCGCACATTTTGCACACTACTTTCACAGGCTCGCAGCAAACAGCGACATTTAATTATTGTCTAGTCATAATAAAAAATTGATTATAAATGATGTATATGATAATGCATGCCGCTGTTGACGGTCATCATTATTTTGGCCACTTATGAATATTTGAAAGTAAAATCTTTTGCACATTTATTTAGATGTCTATTTATATCTGGCGCACATCTTTATGGCTAATTTATTTGTTTTATAACATTTTTGGCTTGGACTGGATGCTAACTTCACGCATCTGCAACTGCTGCTGCGGCTTCTGCTGCGGCTTCTGCTGCTACTCACATAATGTTAATGCCGCATTATGAACGCCTTTGTCGTCACATTAAAACAAACATAACAACTACGTGACTAATTACGTTGATATCAAACATACTTATACATACATTTATATATTTATATACTTTTCTTTCTATGCTATTAAAGCTGTGTGTCTGTGTGCGTGAAAGAAAGTGAAATTAATGTTAAGTGCGCGTATAGCATGTTTGTATTTCTGTTTTCTGAGGGCTTGAACTATGTATGTGGTTTTTTTTTTGGCATTCTCATATAGTCGCTGTCGTTGGTTCTGCAATGCTACTGAAACGTGTTTTGTATTTTCATTAAAATAAATTAACAGCCTGTTGTGAAACTGTCTAGTTGTTCGCTTGTCAGCTTTGCACAGCTTTATAAATGTAGATGAGCGAATTATGTTAATAAAGAACTTCGTGAACAATTATTATAAGGAACTGCAAAACTTTGCGCACCTCAAATGGTTTCCGTTTGGGCTAACTGTCTGAATAACTTATGATTTGTTCAAATAAATTACATCTTATTTTATATGATCCTAAATAATAATAAGTTCAGATTTCTTCTTCTCCATTTGTGTATATCCATGAGCAAGTTCATTTACCTTATGAGCTGCTCAGTTTGTCACTTATAATGACCTAAGGTTTGCAGTTGCATGCAGCTTTCCTTTTCCTATGTATATGTGGACTATTCAATTTATTGCCACATTTTTTGGAACCCAGTCAAATGAAAGTGATAAATTTTGTGCGATACGCAGTGAGAATTTTCACTAAATAACCAAAACAAAATGAAATAAAACAAAACAAACGTCGCATTCAAAAATAGTTGCACGTAATTTAGTACATAACAACAAAAACAACAACGACAACAGTAACTGCTACCTGAAAGGTAAATGCGACCTGGTAATAAAAAGAAAAGTGAAAAAACTTAATGCAAATGCGTTGCATGTGTCTACTATCATTTTTTCTTCTTCTCTAGCCTTTTCGTTGTCCATGGCCAATGGCACGAGAAATGTGTTTTGACCGAAATTAGAGGGCAGGGTGGTGCGGTGCCACAAACTGGTCATTGAAATTGAAAGTGCATAGTTAATTAATTGTAATTTTCATAATTTCGCATTTCGTGTCGTCTCATCAAAAATGCCAAGCAGGCCCTCTTCGTATCTTTCCATTACCACATTGCGCTTTTAAGCGTCATTTAATTTTAGTTTAATATGGAAAACACTTAAACAAAGTGCTTATCCGGTCAAGCGGGCGTATGCGTGATTTATGTTTGTGTTTGTTTGTATATATTTTAGCCAAAAATAAAATGCATAAGTGTTAGATTGAATAAAAATCGTATATTTCAAGCTGTCAAAGGCAATTTAAGCAGAAACGCAAACAGACACGCACACACCCACAAACATACACATACACATACACATACACACACACATACACCCACACACCCACTATTGTGGTGCTCACAAACAGTAGACCGGTAACGCCATCAACGAGAATAGCAAATACAATATCGAACAGCTATAACAACTGATGTGCGGTTTTGGTTTCATAGCTTACGGCTTTGATTGCTGCCATCGCTCAATTGATTTTCCACTAATGCCATCGATTGGCACAAACCGAAATAAAAGTGAAATGCAAAATATTAAAAACCTCACACACTCTCGCTGGCATATATGGCGAACATCAAAACAAAAAATTTGTGATGCGGCATTACTTGTTATAAAATTGAATCGCATCGGAAATAAGAATACACACGCTTGATTCAGGCCAAAGCATTCAAAACTTAAATGAGATTAGTTTCGGCTACGCTTCATTTGGTTGTGTGTTAAATAGTCGTCAGCGCTGTTTTTATTTGTTCACGAATGCGAAAAGTGAAAATCAGCATAAACAGCCACAAGCAGATTAATTCTATAACAAATGAAAAACTAAAACATTTCAATATAGAACACAGCTCTTTTTATGCATGCATTAAAATATTCCTGGAGAGCTGTCAAAATTGTTTGGGGATTACTTAAATTGATAAGCCGCAACTCACATAAATCTCCTCTGACAGTGATTCACCTGGGGTGAGGTTCTGTAGCTGTATCTGCTTTCGTTTTTTTTTTTTTTTTGTATGCTACTGTCAATTACATTCTAGAGTGCGTCAAGTCTGTGGTCTCTCATGCCCATATTTTTGCCAACACTTGCTGGCCTACTTTGTGGGCGTGGCAAAGCACATAAATGTCAAATGCTAGCAACATAATAATTTATATGAGTGCAAGTCGGCTGCATTTGATATATGCAGTGCGGCATACATAGATACTTCTGCCACCAATCCTACATGCCAACTTTGACAACGGCGAATGTGCTGTATAAATATTGTGGTTATAATTTTAATACATATATATTTATGAATATTTTCCATAGTTAATACTACTGAGATAATTGCTTGGTTCAGTTACACATACATACACATGTATGTTTATTGTTTGAGTTACCGCAAATATTTCGACATCATTATTAATTAAGAGATTATTTGCCGTATTTTGTTTTCATATTTTACATCAGTTCAAATTAATTGTACAATAAATTCATAATGTGATTTTGGCAATTGATATCAGTATTTTAATAATAATTTCCTTACCGTAAAAGTGTCTGAAAGATTTCACCAGTTGAATTGCATTAGATTAAATCGATATAGCTGCTAGAGCTGAACATAATATTTAATATATTTATAATGGAATATAAATGTCAATTATATGAAATGCAATTTAAGTATACAATCAGTAATTTCTTTACCATTTAGTTGTTTCCTTTTTCTAGTTCATTTAGTTCACTTGTTATCTAATTAGCATTAGACAACACTGGAAAAAACCGCACAGAAACGTGTGGCGTGTGAAAAATAAACGCAATAAGAAAATACGTAAAAGAATAATGGAGAAAAATCTGTGCTAATTTGAAACTTAAAATCACGACTAATGAAGATTTAAGCAGCTGCATCTGTGGCAAATGAATGTGTTTGTGCTGGTGACGCAGCTAGGTGGTGCTGGTTGGTGCCGGGCAGTGATGCTGCAAATCTCAAATGAAAACAAAACGCGCACGAAACTGCGCCCAAGGAGCACAAAGGCAAACCAGCGTAGTGGCAAATGCATTATTAATAAATGAAATCGCTGCGCGTGTAGATTGCAATTTATGCATGCATGTGCTTGTGTCTCTCATTGTGTGTGTTTGTGTGTGTTGCCCAGCAAACATGCAGTTCATGGACAATGCCAGCTTGAATAAGATGTCCTCTGCTCCCCTGCTGTCTCTGTTTCTCTGTCTCTGTGTGTGTGTGTGTAAGCGAGCGCGGACATCGGCTTGTGCGTCGCTGCTTTTCCGGTGTGAATTAGCGTCGAGTGCCGTATGCAATTTCCTGTTGCTGTAAATTGCAGTTGCTTTAGCAGCAGAAACAACAGCAGCGGCAACAACAGCAGCGGCAACAACAGCAGCAGCAATAGCTGTGTTTCTTGTGGTACCTTTAATTGGCGTACAGCGTGGAGTCCGCTTTAAATTGAACTCATTGCGAGCACTTAACTCACAGGCAAGGCACCAAAAGTTTTTTTTTTTGGCCAACTTTTGTGTACTTGCTGCTGTGAGTTGTATCAGCATTCAATTTGCTTCGTTTTTCGCAGCAGAAGCAGCAGCGCACAAAGCTCAACTAGCTGCGGAAATTTGCTCAGTTACTTTTGTGCAATCCCCAAATCCCAGTTCAATTTTATCTATGTATCTATCTGAAACTACTTGGCAAATAGCTTCAGCTAGTTGCGGCTCCAGCTCTGGTTCTAATGCTGGCTCGTTGCTTGTGTTTGAATTTGTGTTTGTATTCGTATCTATATCTGTAACTGTGTGCAGCTTCAATGAAATTGTTGACGTAAATGGACAACAAAGCCCGGCACTCAGCTGCGTTTTTCTTTTGCTCTTGCAATACGGCTGCCCTTCTGCAGCTGCTTCTGTTTCTGCTTGTTATTGCTGTTGTCGGTGCAGAAAAAAAATGCATGGTTCGTTTAATGGCAACGGGTCTGAAATTCATGTTTATTGCATTTTGCATGCTGGCAAATCAGCGCCACGCCCCGCAGGCCTCCCTTTGATCACAAATTTATATGTATATACTCGAATACATATCTATATACATAAATAAAAAATAAATTAAAAAGCACAGCAACTGTTCTCACTTCAAAAGGCAGCCGCTTACTTGATTTTTGATTTCATTTTTTTGCGTTCTGTATTTTTCTTTGATTTTCTAGTCTGCTTTTTTTTTGTACGCCCCCAAAGAGGTTTGCTGACCACAAAGCCGCAAAGCTGCTGCTGCAGAGCTGCCTTGAAATATACCTTTGCTTGGGCAAACAGACCTGATTGGCAGCTGGACGTGCGGCGTTGGCCTCAACTCTCTGGCAATTGGATCATAGTGGTCGTAATTAGTGCATGCAATATGCCTTTCATCTGCTCACATGTGCCCGTGTATGCAGCGCGTTTTTGTTTGCTCAGATTGATGCCAGTTACTTGAGGGTTGGTGGTGCTGCCATTTTATTTAGTTATATGCTCTGCCGTGTGATCAGATTGAATGCAGCTACTAGCTAGGTAAATTTGAATGGCGGTCTTTGTTAATTAAGCCTGCTAGCAACTCTCAACTGGCAACTGGCAACTGACAACTTGCAACTTGCAACTTGCATCTGTCAAGTGCAGCTCAATGGTAATCGATTTGTATTTGTGTTCTTTATCCTTCTACCAATTTGACCAGTTACAAGCCAGTTTGTTCCACTTCCTCAAGCTTTGAGTGCACGTCATCATCATCATCATCATTCTTTGGCTGCACATCGAATGCACAATTTCTTGCCACCGCCAGGGACAAAATAATTCACAAAGAGAGAATTTCTCGCACAGTTTCTTTTTATAAACACACATGCACACACAAGTTGCCAGGCAGTAGTACATTTATTTAGCATTCGTTGCATTTTTTATCAGTTCTGTTTGACATAAGTTAAAAGCGAGTCATGAGCATAAATTCTGCTTACTGATATGTAAAATATTTAAAAGTAATCGTATCTGTAAATTTTGTAAAGGTTTTATAAGTGATAGTTGCTCAACTTTTAAATGATAAGATTTAGTAATGATTTTAGGCAATAATACCTGAATATAAATATCATATTTTGTTCTAACCTTTTAAAGTAAATATTAAGCTTACATATATATGTATTATTTATTTAAACTACAATGTTCAAAAAGCTATGGATTGCCATGATTTTGATAACCGAATTCATGTATCTCTAATAAATTTCGATTCGATTTTCAGTGCAATTTTAAATAAATTTATGAATAAATATCATATTTAAGTAACATGTAAGCTGCCTCTTGCCAGCTGCAATGGAGCAATTAAGAGATGCTCTGGCAGGGTAAACAGTAATTGCAGACAAGTGCACGTTCTGTACGTTCTGATCTTCGTAAGAGCAGATCAGCTTGCACAACACTGGCAAATGGATATGCTTTACATGTACGTGCAGCGAAAGGATTGCCCGAGTCTTTCGTTAAATAATATACCCAAGAAATGTATTGCGTTCGCACAAAAACCTCTTATTCTTTGTGCTTGCACAATGGCAATTTTCACCAGCCACTGATAATACCTACAGACCTGCAAACAGATGTATTGAGAGTTTTCCATGTTGAAAGTGCACACACACACACACACACTCATGGTCTTAAGGCTGTCAATTAATAATGTTGTATGGAGAGTAAGCTTACATAAGATTGTTATCTCGGTACAACAGACTCGTAAAAGATGGCATGGAGTATATGGTTGACATGGGAATTTGTTGTATGGAAATGAACTTTTTTGATTGCTGATTTTATGGATTCTAATTTATAGTTTATGACTTTGACTTGGCATTAATTTACGCTTAAGCGCAGTGTTGAGGGAATTGGGCAGAAACAATAATCAAATTCAGAATTTATATCTGTGTCACTGCTCATTTATTCAGAAATTTGGCATCGAAGTAGTTAAATCATTGGAATAGTTTTAAGGCCATGCTTTTATTTCAGTGCATAAGTCCACCCATTTGAAAGCTAATTTATAAAATAAAATAGGATGGAAATTGAACATGGGAGGAAGAAGGTTAAATGGCAAATGCCGCTGGTAGCTGCACAATCATCGATAAATTCATTCATTGCCAAGAAATAACTCAATAAAAGCCATGGCATGAATGACAAGAACTTGGCAAACTTTAAGATAAGGATAAATGCCCTTAGATTTTAAGACAATAAATTAATAGGGGCATTGCAATAAAAGAAAGATGGAGATAGAGAGAGAGAGAAGGAGGCTGCTTCGCTTAGCTTAAGCAAAAGCGCAGCATGGAATTTAATTTCAGCCGTTGTCATTAAAGAAAATGCACAAGTACAAATAGCAAATGCAGATAAGCGAAGTGGAATGTTTGGAGGGAGACAGCTTGTGACTTGCTCTGACACTTGTCATGCTGCATTTAGCAGCTAACAAAGATCTTGCCCATACTCAATGGAGTTGAATAAGCAAATAAATGTTCATGTTTGCTAGCAAAAAAGCATTCAATCAGCTCACAACGAACAGCAAAAATTCTCATCCGAATACTCACTGCCGAAATGAGGCGAGAGTGAGCAGTTAAAAGTCAAATGGCGCGCACACGAGAGCCATAACAATGAGCAGTGCCAGCAGCAGCAATAGTAGCTGTAGCTGATGTG